AGCCGTGACAGCTCAGCTAAACATACCTAGAAAACCATAAATCAGGTGTGTCATGTTGGAGTGCAGGAAAGAACTTGAATCACCAGAAAGGAAGTAAGGCAAAACTGGAGTTCCAAAGAAAGCTTACTTTTCTGGGGCACTGGTGAAATTGTTGTTATTAAACTAATATCCATTAAGACTTGGTTGAATCTTCTTTTGTTCTTGCCCAGGTCCACAATCCCTTATCTCCAACCCTTGGGGCCAGATGTGCTTCAGAACTCAGAAATTTTTGAATTTTAGAAAGGTAATATGGTGCATCTACGTATATCACTTAGTGCCATCAGTGGGGTCTTCTGGAGGAGGCCCCGTAATCAAACCCTTCAGTCTTTCTGCAGTGGGGCACACTAATAATCTCATGGTGGGGAATAAGACAATACATAGCATCTAATCTAGTCAGGTCAAGTTTTGCCACCTGATGAATGTGCACCAAATATAGAAAAACTTAGCAGATTTTTGTGAATTTTGCAATTACATAAGGGATTATGGATCTGGTTCAACCAAGGTATAAATACCTTTTTTTGTTGTTCTTGTACATTATTTGACATTTTCTTTTAACTTTTTAATGCAGCAACTCTTAGCAAATCTATTCAGATAGCATCAGATTTATGAAAATATTGTTATGTTCTGTATTCTTACTGCAGAAATATAAATATCTGGCTGAAGATAGCAATATGTCTGTGCCATCTGAACCAAGCAGTCCCCAGAGCAGTACTAGAACACGATCACCTTCTCCAGATGACATTCTGGAGCGGGTAGCTGCTGATGTTAAAGAGTATGAACGGGAAAATGTTGATACATTTGAGGCCTCCGTAAAAGCCAAGCATAATCTAATGACGGTTGAGCAGAATAATGGTGAGTGAGATACGTTTTTGTCAAGACTATGTTTTTCTCTGAATTTTTAGCTCTATCACTTTAATTAGAGACCTTATTTGCGGTGAGATTTGGGGTTGGGGAAAAGTGAAAGGGATTAGGAATGTTGCTCCTGCTAAATATTACAGTAATCCGTCATCAAATGTGTCCTTATGAATGTTCTCTATAGATGTGTTTTTATTCATGTATCCTGAATGTATACTGAACTCCCACATACTCATTACCTTTTTTTTGTTCTGTTTATAGGGTATTTTAAAACAAATCCCAGCCATGATTTTATTTGACCTGTAAATACTTCAGTTTGTATCTCTTATCAGACAAGGACTTTTAAAAGCATTATGTGAAAGAAATTTCCACTCTTTGGGTTACCCCAAAATATAGTGTATACAGGAAAGTCAGGATAAATGCATGATTATTTTCCTTTATTTGATAGTATTTTAGACTAGAATAGAGTCGGTGCCCTGGCAGCATCCAGAGATGATTAATGAGATTTTGATTGTTTTTATTAGGTTTTTATTATTCGGTATCATTATGTACTTGATGTGTTTCAGTCCATTGCTGTTGTTTTTTTTTTCTGAAGCTCAGATTGTTTGCTCCAACAAGATTAGGGAGGGAGCCCTTTTAAATTGGTTTCTAATGTCTTTTTGACCCAGTCCCTTTAATATAGAATGTAGCTTTCTTTTTACGACAGGGGCCAGCAAATTTTTATGTAAGGGGTCAGGTAGTAAATATTTTAGCCTTTAGTAATTAATTTTTTTTTCCACTCTGTTCTATATGCTAAACTCTACTGTTTCAGTGCAAAACCATCCCCAGACAGCACATTGATGAATGACCATGACTGTGTTCCCAAAAACCTTTGTGGACACTGAGTTCTGAATTTCATATAATTTTCACTTGCCATGAAGTATTTGATTTTTTTTCCCCCCTGGATGCTTAAAATAAATGTAAAAATAGACCATACAGAAACAAATGGCAGCTACAAACATCTGTGTGTAGTTTGCTGGCTTCTGGTCTAGCAAGGTTCATGTTGTACATATCCTGCCCCAGAGCAGAATCGGCTGTTTCTCCAAGGAATCCTGGTTCCATTAAATAGGAAATGCCATTAGATGTCACAGGACACCTACGAGTACCGATTATTTCTGGGCCTTTTCATTTGGGCAAAGTTAGGAAATATATACTTTTTTGGAAAGAAAGAGTTCATACTGATACTACCAATATTTTGAGAGTGTAGAGGTTTTATTAACTTCTTTGAGATCTTACATTTCTTTTTTCCTTGTAACGAAAAACTTAGTTCCTAATATAACATAAGTACTGATATGTTACTATGAATCTTTTATATACATAAGACATCAGTATGATTATCATTGCCAAATGTACTGAATGCAACTTGAAATTTCAGTGGTTCTTTTTGTTCTTAGGATACATTCCAAGGTGTATAATCACAATTCTTTTCTAAAATCATTTAAAATAATGTCTCTGTATGGTTATACTACCAGTTTGCCAGATTTAGGTTTATTTCCATTTGCTTTTGGTTTTTAGGAATTGTCTTTTTGTTTTTTTAATTATTAAAACATTTATCTTTTGTGTGTGTATGTGTTTCGTGTTTTATACACAGAGATTATACACATCAGTATGATCTTCCACATTCCTTTTTATAGGATATGCCATAGTTTATTCAGCCTTCTAATAGTGTGCATTTGGATCGTGGCCAGTTGTTGTTATCCATTGGATATTAATTATAATATCATTGCTCATTAAGTCATTTTTTTATCCTTGGCCACTGCATTTTACAAGGATAGTTCTTGTAAGTGAGATTGCTGGGTCAGAAGAATGAATGAATATGTTATTGTGTTATAGTCAAATTCCCCTCTTGTATTAATATAAGGGCTGTACAATTTTGCCATCCCATAAGCAATTTCTAAAGTGCTTGTTTATCCAGATCCTTATTAACAAAATGTTATCATACTTTTGGGTTTTTAGCCAGTATCAGAGGTAAGAAATGGTATCTCATTGTAGTTTGAATTTGCATTTTCTTTACTGGAGGTGATAGTGAGCTTATGTTCATATGCTTAAAGTCGTTGCATTTTTTTTTTCTAACTCGTTTTAATTTTTTTTACCCAGTTTTCTGTGGGATTATTGGCCTTTCTAAGGGAGAAATAGATGTGTTATGTATAATCAGCGTCTGTATTGGGCATATCAACCCTTTGAGATTTAAAGAGAAACTTTTCATTTTAATAGAAGGTCATTGTTTAGCTGTTATTCATTTAAACTAACAATGGTGAAAATTAATATTAGGTCTTTCAGCTTTCTGAAATGCAGTGGTTCTAAATTGAATATCAGTGGGACACTGATGTGCAAGAGGACAAAAGTTTGAATTACTGTTAATGACTTTCCATTGACTTGTGTTTTAATTTTGTGTCTCTTCCTTTTTCAAATATGAATACTAATTTCCTTTAAGGGTCATCTCAGAAGAAGCTCTTGGCACCTGATATGTTTACAGAATCTGATGATATGTTTGCTGCATATTTTGATGTAAGTAATTTTAAATCAACTGTTAAACAGAAAAAAACATATGTAACGTGTGTGTGTGTATATGCATATATATCAAGAAAGAAGAGTCAAGCAAATGTAATGTTACCATTTGGACAATCTTGGTGAAGGGTATCCAGAAACTCTACTAACGTTGCACCTTCCTTCTAAGTCTGAAATTATATCAAAAATTTTAAAACAAGTATGGCAAAACAATTTGAGAGTTTCAAAAATGTCACACACCAAATGACTTAAATGTGTTGTTATTTGTGTGTGAATTATCTGTATAGGTATACACACACACGTAGACATACATGTAGTTTTAGGTGAGATAAGGAGATACCAATATTTTCCAGGTCTTCATTAGAACGGAGTCTGCTTTTGGGCCTCTATATTGTGGGCAATTGAGAACTTAAGGATTTGGAGCCTAATAGAATTCATTGAAGAGTCAGAAATGTTATAAGGAGTGGATTAAGAAATTTGGTCACTTAGCCATTTTTTTTTCTTAAAGATTTATCAGTGCCTTTTGTTGAAAAGGTCTTCAACCATAAATACGTTAAAAAGCGTGAGGCCGTTTTCAGTATAAATTTCAAAGAACATGAGAAATATGAGGCCTTGGTAAGATGAGGTAGGGAGGATAAACATAAGGAATTAAAATGAAATAGGATAAACAGTGTACAGGCCCCTGAAGACCTTAGTAATTGGCTCAAGCAATGTGTTATGATAGGAACACCAAAAATTAGGTGCATTAGGAGAGGGTAAGGTAGCATTGACCCAAAGTGTTGGCACTCATCATTTGCGTGGGTGATATTGAGGGATCTTCTGGTTGTCATGGAAAGTGAGTGAAATGCAATAAAGAATCTTCAGAAGTACCAGATACTCTTATTTTTAAATTTTCTGCAAACTCAACTAGTATAGCCAGTGAATGTTATATTTCATGCATATATGGGAAGAATGCGAATGTTATAACAGCTATAGAAAATCAGATCTGGTTTTGAGTTTTTATTTTCATTTATAATGCCCTAATCACTCATAAAAGCTTTAGAAGATACTATGTTAATTTTTTTTCCTGAGCATTATTGTGATACAAGAGACTTTAGTAATCATGTTTTAAATATATTACATTTACATAAGCGATAGTAAGAGTTTATTTAATTTGCACCAAAATGCTTTTATTAAATTATAGCTGGTCTTGCTCTTTTTTGTTTTAAAGGAAGTGCTTTAAATATCTGATTAGTGGGTAAACTGTTCGTGTTACCTCTTTTTTAGAGTGCTCGTCTTCGGGCTGCTGGCATTGGAAAAGATTTCAAAGAGAATCCCAACCTTAGAGACAACTGGACTGATGCAGAAGGCTATTATCGTAAGTTCACATTTCATATGAATTTTAGAGTGCCATGTAACGCTTTGTAACACAAGTTGCTTGATGCAGCCACATGTTGGACAATTCTGAAAAATGACACCCACAGTGCCATCACTTAAAAAGTGTGGCACATCCAATAGCTGCATGAACCCATATTGTATTCTAGTAAGCAGCCCAGAACCATCACAAGTTGAGGTAAGGTAAAGACTTGATGTTCA